ATATAATTATTTATATTACATTATACAATATAATTTAATTTAATGATTAAAATATTTAAAATTAAAAATATATATTTATATAAGTATTAAATTTTATAACAGTTAAAAAATTTTCATTATTAAAAATCAGATAAATAGTTAAAAATTATTTAAAAGTAATTAAATATTAAATAATTGAATGCAAGAAAATTAATTTGGATTCATGTCGGGTAAGTCTAGTATGGAAGCAATACATTTGTTGAGAGGTCTTATGGAGAAGTATAGGGAGAATAAGGAGTGTCTACATATGATATTTATTGATTTAGACAAAGCATATGATAAAGTTTCAAGAGAAGTGTTTTGGAGAGTTCTAGAAATAAAAGGGGTTTATAATTCTTATATTCAAGTCATTAAGGATATGTATGCCGGAGCTATTACTTGTGTTCAAACACAAGGTGGTTTGACTCAGTATTTTCCTATTACAGATTGATTAAATCAAGGACTCAAGGATTAGTCTTAAACCCATATTGTTTGCTTTAGTCATAGATGCTCTTGCTAGACATTTGCAAGAGGATGTGTCTTGGCGTATGCTTTTTGCTGATAATATTTTTTCTCTTGTTGATAAGACTAGGGAGAGTTGAAGATAAACTTGAATTATGGGGGTCAACCTTAGAGTCTAAAGGTTTTTGTGTGAGTAGATCTAAAATTGAATATATAGAGTGTAATTTTAGTAGTAATAGATCTAGTGGTGGGATTGCGACTTTGGACGATGAAGTCATTAATACGAGTACACATTTTAGATATCTCACGTCAATAGTTCAGAGTTATGGTGAAATAAATGGGGATATATTAGTAGAATTCAAGTTGGATGGTTGAAGTAAATGAATGCATCAGGCCTGTTGTGTGATTTAAAAGTATCCCTCAGCTTTTAGATTAAATTCTATAAGGTGGTGTTGAGACCTGTAATGTTTTATGGTGCATAATGATGGCCATTAAATGATAAGCATAACATTAAGTTAAGTGTTGCAAAGATAAGGATACTCAGGTGGATAAGTGGCTTACTCTTAGAGAGAGAATACAAAACAAGCATTCGCATGAAAAGGTTGGAGTAGCTCCCGTGGCAGATAAGATTAGAGAGAGTCGCCTTAGATGGTTTGGTCTCATAAAACATCGGCCTTTTGATGACCCAGTAACCTGTTAGGAAAGTAGATGTATTAGATTTGACTTATATTAAAAATGGTAGAGGTAGACCAAAAAGACTTGGTTAGAAAATATTAGAAATAACTTTTCTTTATTATTTAAATGAGAATTTGACTTAACATGATACAATGAAGAATAATGATTCTCGTAGCCGACTACACGTAGTAGGATAAAGGCTTGATATTGTTGTTGTATAGAAGAAAAAATAATTTTCCATATTTTTGCATACAGAAATTTTTTTTCCATATTTGCTCCTTTTCCTAAATCAATTTTAATTACTCTCCTAATTAATCAAATTTTGATAAAGCTCCTTCTAAAAAAATTACCCTTTATTTATGTAAACAATTGATTTATTATATTATTTTTAGACATTAAAATTTTGTGCATAGTTAGGGCCTCAACATGAAGATTATTTGTTCTAGAATTCAGGCTTTACATAATTTTGTTCAATTAATTCATTATTTTTGAAATTAAAGCTTCGTTTGTGACAGCTTTCTTACTGTTTTGTAGTATAAAAATTTCTAATTCAAAAACTTTTTATAAAGCAGTAAGAAAGCTTTCTTATGCTTCTATACTGCATTGTAACCGGTATTTCAACATTTAGCATTGATAAACATTTTAAATTCTTACAATTAGGCTTGTTAATAGTGGTAATTTGCTTGGTGATGAACGGATTGAAGAAGCTAAGCGGATGCTTCGATTGTTTCCCATATGGGCAACCTGTTTAGCATATGCCATAACCTTCTCTCAGAATTCGACCTTTTTCAACAAGCAAGGTGGCACAATGGACAGGCATATTGGACAGAGCTTCCAAATTCCATCGGCCGCTCTACAAAGCATTATAAGCATCGTCACTGTCACCTTCATTCCTGTCTATGACCGTGTGCTTGTTCCCATAGCCAGAAATATTTCTGGGCTTTCCTCTGGCATCACACAGCTTAAAAGAATTGGCATTGGATTGTTCTTTTCGGTCATTTCGATGGTCGTCGCAGCTCTGGTGGAGAAGAAGAGAATCGAAACTGCAAGAAAACATGGCTTGATCGATAAGCCGAATGCAACAGTGCCAATGAGCGTATTGTGGCTGCTTCCTCAGTACATTCTATTTGGCATCATGGGCGTGTTTGGACTTGTTGGCCTGCAGGAGTTTTTCTATGATCAGGTACCTGATGCTTTGAGGAGTCTAGGTCTTGCTCTCTATCTCAGTATATTCGGCATAGGAAGCTTCATTAGTGGTTTGCTTGTTTCAGTGATTGATGAAATTACTAAAAGAGAAGGGGAGAGCTGGTTCTCAGACAATCTGAATAGAGCTCATCTTGATTATTTCTACTGGCTACTTGCAGGACTTGGTGCTATTGCGCTGGTCCTTTTTGTCTGTTTCGCTCAATCCTACGTATACAAGAACGAATACCGCAGTGTGTAATATGCTAAAGCAAACCGAATTTTATTACTTAAAATATGCTTTGTTATTGTCTTCAGTTCTATATCAAGATAAGCTCAGACAGCTTGTGTAGTTTTCTTAGATGGCCTTATTGTTTTCTGAGTACTGTGATTCTTCCTACGCTACTCAATGCTTTCATTCATGACTGGATTTGAGTTTTCTCTATTTGTGGTAATAATGCGAAAGCTAAGAAATATTGAATTAATTATTAGAACATGTAAAATTTGATAAGGCTGAAGTCAAGAAAACTTTCTCACCATCCAAATGAATTTAATCTTATCTTTGTAAATTTTAATCAAATATTTACTATAAATAAGAGATCTCAAAAGAGAAAATTTTAATTCTATAATTTCAAGCATGCACGCTGTTTATTGTTTTTCTTCTCTATTGAAAGGAAATATTATGACTTTAGTTCATTGAGCTAGAGGATGTATTTATTAACTTTTGTATTACAATAAATATACAATATTATAAAAATATATCAAAAAATATTGAAAATAGATTGGATATATGCCTTAAGTATTTCTTCTTATTAGTTTTACAGAATAATTATAATTTATATTGTTCTGAGAATGAAGATTTTTTATAGAGACAAGTTCTTATGATTAATTACATTCAACATGTAGATTGAGAAAATATTTTTTGATTAAGAAATATCGACCATTAGAGCATAAGAAAGGCAATCATAACCTAAAGAAACATTAAATAAAGTCTCAAAAACCTAAATTTAATAATAGCAAGAATGATGAGATCACAAATTTGATTGATTCTTAGTTCAAACAACAACAATAACTTCTTCAAGCCTTTATCCCACTACATGGGGTCGGTTACATGAATTCTTTTCTCCATTGCGCCTTATAAAGAGACACATTCTCATTTAAATCTAATAAAAAAACATAATTTATAATGTTTTTTAACTAAATCGTTTTAGGTCCACCTTTAGCTTTCTTAAAATAGGCTAGATCTAATACATTTACTCTTCTGACTTGGCTATTTAAAGGATGGCATTTTATGTGACCAAACCATCTAAGGCAACTCTTTCTAATCTTCTCTACCACTGGAGCTACTCCAATGATTTCATGTATATACTCTTTTTGGATTATGTCTCTAAGAGTAAAGAAAATCATCCACCTAAGTATCATTATCTCTACAACACTAAACTAAATTTTATGCCTCTCTTTTAATGGGCAATATTCCTCACCATAAAGCATTGCAGGTCCGACTACCATCTTATAAAATTTTCTTTTTACTTTGACAAGTACTTTTCTATCACAACCCAAGCCAAAGCATTATTCCACTTCAACCATCCAACTTGAATTCTACTAATAATATCCCCATCTATTTTACCATCACTTTGAATAATTGACTCGATATATCTAAAATATGTACTCTTTTATTTATTTGATCACCAAAATTCATAATCCTCCTCTAAATCTATTATTACTAAAATTACACTCTATGTATTTGGTTTTACAACTACTCAAACAAAAACCTTTAAACTCTAAAGTTGACCTTCATAATTCGAGTTTTCCTTCAACTCTCACTCTCTTGTCTTATTAAAGAGAAGAAATCATCAACAAAAAGCAGACACTAGGGTTCATACTCTTACAATTTTCTGGTAAGAACATCCATCACAAAAGAGAAAATATATATGATTAATGCTAATCCTTGAGGTTATCCAACTTAAATAGAAAAATACTTGATCAAACAACCTTATGTTTGAACACAAGTAATAGCTTCTACATATATATCCTTAATGACTTGAATATAAGCATTATTAAATCCTTTCTTTTCTAGAACTCTCTGGTGCACTTCTCTCGAAACTTTATCATATGCTTTCTCTAAATCAATAAATTTTATATCTAGATACTCCATTTTCTCTCTATACTTCTCCACCAAACCTCTCAATAAATGTATAGCTTCCATATTAAAACAAAATTGATTTTGTGAAACATCAGTATCACATTGTAACATGTGCTCAATTATTCTCTCACGTAGTTTTAATGTATGACACAACAACTTAATTTCTCTATAATTCACACACTCTTCTGAATCATATTTATTCTTCAAAATAGGAACCAACAAATTCATTTTCCACTCATTTGATATATTTTTTGCCTTCAAAATAATATTAAAAACTTTAGTAAGCCAAGAAATTCATTCACCTCCTAAGCATTTTCACACCTCTATAGGAATATCATCAGGTTCAACTATTTTTCCACCCTAGATTTTCTATAACTCCTCTATAACTTTAGTTTTACTGATATGAAAATAAGAAAAAGAATCTTTATTTTCATTTAAGGTGCTAAGATCACTAAATTCAATCATATTATTGAAGAGGTTATTAAAATATGTCATTCACTTATATTGAATATTTTCTTCAAATAAAAACACTTTTTAATCTTTATCCTTAATGCACTTCACTTGAACTGGACCGTTACTTCTACTATATTTTTGTTTTACTAACATGTACATACATCTTTTCCCTCCTTAGTATCAAATATATTATATAATTCTTTAAATGCTAAACTCTTTACTTTGCATATTGCTTTCATAGACTCTTTACGGGCCCCTCTATATATGAGGCTTTTTTTAGAGCTTTTATATCTAAGCCAATTTTTATAGCGAAAATTCTTATTTTTTATCATTTCTTTCACGTTTTAATTCTACCATCAACTATTTTTATTATTAGGAGCTTTTCTTTTTGATACACCAAGCTCAAACTTTACAACATTTTTCATTTCACTAGCTACTTACTCTCACATAACAAAATCTACTTAAGCACAATGAAAATCTTGAGATCTTGAATCTTACTTGCAAATATTTTTTTTAGCATTTTTTAAATGCACATCCAATTCTAAGATATTATTTTACTATACTTTTTATATTATGCTCGTCATCTTAAAGTATACAATTAATAAGTGATGTTGGGTACATAATCTTTCACTTATAATGTCTTTAGAATCTTTGCAATATAAATTATTTATTTTTTTAATATGAAAATAATCAATCTGAGTATTACAATATACATTCTTACAAGGGATGAGAAACTCCACTCTTTCTTAAATAAGGTCTTAACAATTAAAAAATCACAAGCTAGAATAAAATCTAATATTATCTTTCCACCTTTATTAGTCACTCCAAACATATAACCACCATGAATGATTTTAAAATCATTTACCACTCTACCAACATGTCCATTTAAATCTCCTTCAATAATAATTTTTCTTCAAGAGGTATCCTTTGTATTAATTCTTTCAAGTTATTCTAAAATTTTAATTTTGAATACATCCAAACCAACTTGAAGAGCATAAGCCCTTAAAATATTAATAAACTTAGCATAAGAAATAATCTTTAAAGCTATAATTTTATCTCTTATTCAATTAATTTTTATGACATTATCCTTCAAACTCTTATCTATAATCATACATATACTATTTCTAGTATAACTCCTTGAAAACTATAGTTTAAATCCTAAACTATCAATCTCCTTAGCCTTCTCTCCAATTGGTTTAGTTTCATGAATGCATAAAATATTTATCTTCATATGAGTCATAATATATGCTAATTGCATTAGTTTTTTTTATAAAAGAACCTATATTCAAAGTTTCTATTCTAATTATAATTTCATGGACTAGCTTCTTTGCCCACATTTGTTCAGGATGAGGGAACCTCTGTCTCATAACCCAACCTAATATAACTCACTAATAGAGTAGGTCATATCGTGTTAGATGGTAACATAACAATCTTAAGATCATATTTTGAAAACTATTTAGAATTCTTTGGTTATTAATTGACAATAGAGCTGCTAATTAACTTCTAATAAATAGGAAATAAACTCATCCACAAATTTCTCCTTCTCCTTTCTATTCATCTTTAAAATTTATATATAAGAAAATCTCTTCAATACAGTACCTAGCTATAATAGAGATAGAGTAGAGGAGAATATAAGTATGGCAAAGATAGAGCAAAAGAATATATCCATGACTAAACAAAAAAGAAAAAAACACAAGCAAATGCCCATACAAACTCAGATAGATTAGATTCTACAATCTCAACTAACCAATTGGCTCTTTAACATTTTCTTGACTTGAAAGTGAATGCAAAATAGGTGTAAGTCTATACAGCTTAGCATGTCACACCTACCGATCTAAATTTTTAATAACTAACCAAAAATTTATTTAATACAATTAAAAGTAATTATTAATAAGCTTTTGTATAGGATAGAGTAATCTTGGAAAATAACTTAAATTAAAAAAATCTTTATAGCAAATGTAAATAAATAATTACTTAATATATATTAAAAAAAATTCCTTAAAGCCCTTACGCTTCTTGAGAAAAATAGATATCATAATTCAAACATTTATGACTCTCTGTTCAAGAATAATTGAAAATAGTCCCTTATAACTTATCCAACAAAAATAATAAGTTGGAGTCCCATTATGCATTTTTTCTAGTGATAGAAGCCCCACATTTTTTCTAGTGAGAGAAAGTTCTCTTTTCAAACTTTTTTTGTGGGTAATCCGCTTTCTCTGTTCATGATGGCGTTAGACAACCGACCGCCATTGGATTACCAGCCACCTCCAGATAATCTTCCTCCTTCATATTATCAACTTCTTTATTCTGGTGGCTCTTCTCAGTCATCCATCAAGATTTCATTGATTCTGGGCAATGCTGATGTTCTTAAGGATAAAAGAACTATCAAAGGAGACACTCAGAGAGATTCAAGAAACTGCCAAAAATCTTTGATCATCAGAGAATGTTATGACTCAATTGCTCATCATGATAAAATCCAACTTCCAGTAGTTGAGGAAAGAAATTAGTAGAACCACCGAAGGTGTCTGAATCTGGTAATGATATAAATGCTTTTTCATTTGGAACCCTTGATCAGGATGTCTCTACGTCTTCAAAATAGATTCTTAAAGTCAGCAAATTTGTTGGAAATAATGAAGGATCTCTTAATCGCAATCTATCTGTTAATTTCTCAAATCCTGAAGTAACAATTGTTGACTCTGTAAATCCTATTCCATTGAATGATAAAGTTGTGGATCAACCATCTGATGAAATTAGCAATCAC